GGCCACGTCCCCATAAAATGTGCTATCATACAACCATACATCTTTGAAAAGCAGAAGTAGAGCCTCCTGCACAACCAACAAAAATACAGAGAGTGGTTTCTAGATGGTAAGTCAACAAAACACTTCTCTTTTCTAGCAGCCATTGTACAGTGCATATAGCGGTAAAACCAGCTGACCAAATGTGCTGGATCACTGCTTGAGATGCCAAAATGTACAGTCCCTGGACATTTTGGAAATGGCTCATATTTCAGATAGTAAAAAATCATTAACTTATTGCCAAGAAATGAGTGGGTGTTTTCTAGAAGCAGCAGAGACTCAAAAAGGAAGTACAAAATATACAAAAGGTGAATTTCGCATAACAGGTTCCCTTTAAAAAAATGGAAAAACAAGAAACTTGTGTTCTTTGCGAGAATAAAAGAAAAGAATGAGATATTTAAAGAGTATTGCTTTTTAAAATTTTTGTTAAGAGTTTCATTTAACACACCAACCTACCCGAGTGCAACCTTCCCTCCGGTTTGCTTGGAGTGGCCTCTTTTCATCCAGCTGATGGAGGGCAAAGGATGACCGGACGCCTCACACTCCAGCACTGCTGGGGCTCCCACAGGAACCATCAATACTGTGGGCCACAATTTCACTAAAGGAGGGGCTACAGGAAGAAAGAAGAAATAAAGCTTTCTGAAACCCAAACTCATTTTTTTCATGCTACTCTGTAAAAACACAACATCTTACCAAGTATTTTGGTCTAGTTTCTTGTCCAAATATATTAGTACACTTTGAAGTAAGACAACTTGCTTTCAGAATGAGCTGTTTTAGGGCCTCTTGTCATTTTAAGTCCCAATTACTTGCTGAAAAGTTACTTGTAAGTTAGTTTTGTCTTATTTCAAATATATTAAGATACTTGCACTAGAACAGAAACACTTGTTAAGATTTTGTGTTTTTGCCCTGCAAACTGGGGCAGCGTGTGTAGTTTTGTGTTTTTCCCACACCCAGCACAGTCAGAGTCGCTCTTCTAGAAGTGAGGAATCTTTGGAGGTGAGAGTTTGACGCCCTGCAGAAGTAAATGCCACCATCATGCACCTGTACGCTGAAGGAGAAGCATGAAAAATGCAGTAAGTTTTGCTAGAATGGAAGATATTATAGTTATTTATCCAATTATATGTGTTTTAGAAAAGAGACCTGTGAAAGAAGAGGTCTCCACTGGGTAACACAGTCATGTTTCCTGCTGGAGAGAGAAGCTGGTTGCCTTTGAACCAGGACACATCAGCTTCTGGTCGACTGTGTGGAGGTCTGCAGGTGAGCGTGACGTTTTCTCCTCTCCTGACAGTCAGGCTTGAGGGCTGCTGCACAAAACTCCAATGCATATCTGAAAACGCATAACTGCATGCTCAAATGTGTGACTGTATTTGATTTTAGTAAATTTTGTTAAAATTCAAAGTACCGGCTAGAAGCAGGAAAGCTGACTGTGACTTGATAGTCTCCTCCTGGTTTGATGCTTCACAGTGATACCAGCCTTCGTCCTGCTTTGTCACATTTCTAATACAAACACAAAGGAAGCTTTTGTTTTCAGGAGATAAAAACTCAAATTCAAAGATTCAAAATCTTCAGTTTTTGTCTTAGTTCTCATACTGATGGGATTTACTGAGGTTGCTAAGATCTTCAAAAACAGAACTCATAAAAACGCAATCAGAGAACTGTTTGCAAAGCTGCAGTAAACTCAAAAATAAACACCAACATTCATTATATGAAAATAAAGACTGATGTTGAGCTTTGTGGGTTTGTAAATTGCAGGGCTTTTATTAAAATACAACTAAAATTTTCATCAAGATTAAGACCAGATGAAAGAAACTGTAGATTTGAACAATAAAATCCCCATCATTAATATTTCAACCTATACATTCTGTAATTTTAACAAATTAAGAAACTTTACAGTGTGTACAAATACACTGTAAATATGCTCTAATAATATACTATCACAGCATATTTTCACTATGATTTGATTCATAATCATCATAAAAAAATGTAATGAGATTTTAATCTGCTCCTTTCAGCTGTTTTAGGGCGTCTTGCCACTTTAAATCCAAATAAACTGCTGCTGGCCACGCCCCCTAATTCAACATTTACACTCACACATGAAAATGTCTGAAAAGCATTAATAGCGCCTCCTGTACAACTAACAAGAATGCAGCAAGTGGTTTGTAGATGGTAAGTCAACAACAAAACACTTGTCTTTTCCAGCAGCACATACAGCAGTAAAACCAGCTGACCAAGTGTGCTGGAGCTCTGCTAAGGTTGCTAGGTGATGGGCTGGGCCCAGCTGGGGTTGCTAGGTAACAGGTTGTAACTTAACAATGAGGAGGTTGTTGAAGCAGTTTATTTTCCAGACGCCAAAAAAGCATAAACTTATTGCCAGAATTATTTCTAAGCCCTGAGGTTGTTATTAAAATCAGTTGAGGCCCAAACTGAAGTATTAAAATGTACAAATGTGAATTTTTCATAATAGGTTCCTTTTAAAACATGGGTGTGAAACTCAGTTTCATTTTGGGCTATATCAATACTCTGAACGTTCTTAGAGGGCCAGTTGTGCTAGAATGCATTGATAAAACCCAATAAGCTGTTAAAATAGTAATAAATAGTTGTCACTCCAGGATTTTGATTGTTATTATGTTTTTTTTTGTAATTAAAATCACAGATCTTGTGGTGCTAATTTAGAAATATTTGTAAGGAATTTTAATATTTGCTCCAATGGATGATTATAAATGTGACTTTTTATTCCTTGCTGTATTCTTTGCAGCAGTCAATTAAACCCAATGTTTCTGACCTATTTTGAGAAAAACATTTTCAATGAAATCTGAAAAATGTGGCGATCTGTTGATTTAGTTTGAATTTTGCAAATTTGTGAAAAACTGCTGGGACTTAATGATGTCATTTGGAGTCTAGAGGGCCACATAAAAAGCTACGGCGGGCCAGATCCCCCGGGTCTTGAGTTTGACACGTGCTTTAAAACTAGCCTGTCAGGAGAGAAGAAACCGAATGTTTCCCTGCTGTCCTGTGGAGTGTCTGACCTCAGTATGAGCAGCTGCCCATTGTTCAGGAGGCTGAATGTGGCCGAGCAGCTCGACAGGAGGCAGCCGTCTTTGAACCAGTTCACCATGGGAACAGGGAAGCCACGGACTGTGCACTGCATGGAGACCTCAGTTCCCATGGTAACCGTGATGTTGTCAGGGCCCTGGACGAGCTTCAGATGCAGAGGAACACCTAGCGCACAGACGGAGTTTGTCATAAATGTTGTGGGTTAACCATGTTTTTCAAGAAGTGTCTGTGTTTGAAAGAGTTTGTTCTCACCTTCCACAGTTAGCTTAGCTGGTTTACTCCTCCTGCTGATGTTCAGCAGAGAGTTTTGTGCGACACAAACATATATCCCATCATCCTGTAATGTTACATTGAAGAGGTGCAGCGTGCCTGAAGTTTTCTTCTGTTGTCCTCCTCCATATTCCCCCTTAGCAGGAAAGAAATCAGAAAACTTTGTTAAATTATCAGAAAACTTACACTTTTGCCGTTATTTAAATGTGTTATTTTTATCCGAGTCTCTTTCCAAGCTACCAAAAACTTCAGATTTCAAAATATGCAATTCTACTTATTAAATATTTAAGACAGATTGAGAAAGTAGCAGGTAAAGCAAACACATTCTGACAATGATTTATCTAAATGTATTCAGCTTTTTATGCTGATACAAATATGAAGATAAATTGATGTAAAAATCCTGAGCAAAAGAAAAACATCAAAAGAAGAGAACAAGGATGAAGGTACAAAAAGATAAATAATAAAGTTTTTTTTCACTTAATAGAGGTGTTAAGCAGAAAGTTAATCAGAAGCAATAGATTCAGAATATGACCTTGTTGACTGAATTTGGCTTTTATAAATTGAGTGAGTTTTAGAAATAAAGATAATTGCCATCATTAGCATCAATGAAAGTAATTGAGAAGGCATTAAAACTATCAAACTATTCAGTCAGAGTTTATCAGGAGTTTTTAAACAGACTGCAGATAAATTAAAATGTTAAAAGTTTAGACAGATCTTACAAGTAGAGGATTAAGATAAAAAAATGTTCTGCAAAAAAAAAAAAATCTGTTTAATGTCTGTCTAAGCGATCAATTAGGTTTAAAAACTAATTTAAATGTTCTGTTTCGACCTGCCTCACCTGAAACTGTCTGCCTCTTGTGACTATCCGTCCGTCTTTGAGCCATGAGATGTTTGCTGCAGGCGAACTTTCTCCAGACACACACTGCAGGAAAACAGATTCTCCTTCTTTCACCGTCTGGTCCTCGGGACTAAAGAAAACATCCTCCAAACCTGGAAACCAGAAACATTAGAGACACATTTAACAGATATTAAATCCAGTCATCACTCAGAAATATAGCCACTGGGGAAGTTTTGAATATCTCTCATAGAATATGTGCTTATTTATCCCTGTTTTCTATTTGGTTTATGTAGAAACTATCAGAAGGATGAAAAAGATAGAAAAAAAAATTCAAAAAAAGGCTCACAAATTAAATTTCCTGCCAAATTAATAGAACTAAAGGCTGAAGAAGTCAACATACAACAACATTACTGGGTGAATCAATATATGAAATGCAAAGCAGGGTGTAAACTGCATCAAAAATGCGACAAGTGTAAGGATTCTAGATTATTGAGTCTTTCCCTTAACTGTCTCCAGCTGTTCCTTGTTCCCCCTGATTATCTCCCTGTGTATTTAATCCCACCTGTGGCCCTTGCTCCCTGTCGGGTCCTTGTCATGTGTCGTGTTTTGTCTACCCTGTCAGTCGTGCATTAGTCTGCAGTTGCTAGCAGGGTCTGAGCTCCTAGCCTAACTGCTCACCTGTGCTGCCTGGATTTCGTGTTTCTCTTCATTAAAACCATCATTTTCACCAATACCTGTGTCCACCACATCCATCATTCACCACAATAACCACAGTTCATTACAATAAGAAACATCCAGTGGTAACAATAAAGCATAAATTCATGCACAATGACACTGGATGCCTTTTGTTAAAAATACAAACCAAAAGGAGTCGACACTTTCTGACTAGCAATCCTTTCTCAGAGCAGTATTTTTAACTTCTGCTAAAATATTTTCTCACAGCTAAAAAATGTTTTATACATAATATATATTTAGTTTTTACTATCATTGTTATATGGTGCAAGAACCTTATGATGCAAACTAAAGCTGCTATAAATCCTATGGATCGTTCAGTATTTATGATGCATTTTGCATCTTAGTGGATCAATGTTTTGCTGAATTATTATTTATATGCTTTGTCCTGGACATAAACATGCATAAAATTAAAAGAAACAGAATTAAAAGGTAAAAGTCATTTCTGAACCAATATCAATCTTTCCAAGTTGAGAAAACTCTTCCTGCATCGTCTTAATTCTTTAAAGATGATATTTCAGTTAAATTTGTTTGCTGTTTGTTAATTGTGGGTTAGCAAAACAACATAATTGTGCACTCCTCAAATCGAAACTGGGATAGATTTATAAACAATAAGTTTTGTAAATACAATGCATTATTATAATTAAAGTCAGATTTGGTGTATAATGTGAAAGAGAAGCCTGAAGGACTCACCCAGAGGAGATGCGACTGCCGAGCCAAACAGGATGAGCGAGCAGACCAGGGAAGTCATCTGTGATAAACAGATGGAGACACAGACCTGCATCCTACTGCAGAGCTCCATCAGAAGAAGAAGGAAACCAACATGCAGCTTCATCCATGGTGTCAGTCTGTGATGTGCACATAAAAGTAAAGTGCATCTTCTTAAATATTTTCATGCAAACTGATGCATATTGAGCCCTGCATAGTGTTTTGTATTATTCTGATAAGACTCAAAGCATGTCTTCAGGCAGCAACTATATGTGATATTCGTCACTTTATCTCTTTAAGTAAGTGAAATGTCTCTGAACAGAGGTCTAGTTTTTGATCAGTTTCCAGTAAATGTATTCAGCAGATGAATTTAACATAATTCACTCCCCGCCTCTTGTTCTCTTGAGCCCTCCCTTGTTGCTTTGCTTCGTTCCTCTTTTGGTTGTGAGTCTGTGTGGCACCACGGCGAGCTCAGCTTTGTCCTCTTTAGTCCCTTGAATGGGCACAGCCTCTTTATAGAGCTCACACGGTGGCCCTCCACTCAATGAAAGTGACATGAAAAGAGGCTGCACAGCTTTGTACTGTGAAGATCAGTTATTGGCCCTTGCGAGGACAGCTACCCGTCTGATCGGTCGCGCTTTCATCGAAGGGTCTGATCCCTTTTAGTTTGAACCTGACACAAATTTTTGGTTTTGCACTGATGAAGTTGCAAAAAAGTTCTACAATTTAAAATTTGCAAGGTGGTAAATACTTACGACAGTGGTCAAGAGCCAAAATAATTGTCTGGGGTTTTGTGCTAAATCCAAAAATCACATTAGTTTTGCTCAGTCAGGTCATTATATGAAACATCCAGTGGTAACAATAATGTTGCATCAGAACTATGGATGCAACATAAGCATCAAAATACATGACTTTTTCTCACATAGATCTGTTTCCTGAGAATCTGGGATCAATGAGTGATGAGCAGAAGGACTCCATCAGGACATAACACAGATGGAGTCGTAATGTTCCATTCACATGTACTTACCCTTATCAGTGTTTACTATTCAGTTTAAATGCAAGTTTGTAACATTTAATTAATACACTCTGTTAAAAAGCCTTGTGTGGATTTGGATTTAATTCTCTTAGATCTGTGTTCATCTTTCCTTTTGAAGATATTTTCATAGCTCTATTTGTGTTAATTAGTCTCTCTCTCCTTTAGTTTCCCTGACTTCCTCCTGCCACGGCTGTTTTGTTTTACTTCTGTTTGTATTTTAATGCTTTGTGTTTTTGTTTCAGTTTTGCACTGGATTTTATTTAGGTATCTCCGAGTAGAGGGGGTTAAACACAAATGTATAATTTCTGTTTAATTTATACGGTATAATTTTCCCTTCATGTCAAACATATTTATGCTGGTTGGTTACATAAAAGCCAAATAGAATAAACCAAAGTTTGTGATTGTAATGTTAAAAAATATGTAAAAATTTAAATACCTGAATGTTGTTTTTAATTAAACCATTAGACTCTAATTATTCGGCAAATCAGTGAACAAAACTGTCGTGCTATATCACTCCCCGCCACGAGGTGGAGCCGAAGACAAGAAGTAAATGAGAAACTGTAAGA